TAGACACATTTATTTAAAATCAGGGTGGCTTTTTGTCTTCTTTGTACCAGGGTTTCATAATCTCAAATACTACTGACATTTTGAGCTTGATTTTATAGGAGTGGAGGGCTGTTCTGTGAATTGTGGGATATTCAATAGAATCCCTGACCTCAACCCCAGTCTTGACTATCAAAATCTCCAGAAATTGCCAAATGTCCCCTAAAGGACAAAATCACACTTATCTCAGAACCACTGCTTTATAGATGTTTACATGGTTTCCCTTAAAATATATCACTATTTGAGAAAAATGAGGACAGGTGTCTCAGTATATTTTCTAGTTAAGATTTTGGCATATTTTCTAGTTAAGAATTTCAGATATTAAAAAAAAGATTTTTAGATATATTCAAATGGCATCTGGGGGGAAAAAAAACCAATCTAGCACATTATGAACAACCTTATAAAGAACCTCATCTAGGGGCGCCTGAGTGGCTCAATCAGTTAAGCATCTGCCTTCGGCTCAGGTCATGAGCCCAGGGTCCTGGGATCGAGGCCCGCCCCCCAATCCAGTTCCCTGCTCAGCGGGGAGCCTGCTTCTCCCTCTCCCTCTGCCCCTCCCCCTGCTTTGTGCGTGCACACTCTCTCTCAAATAGATAAATAAAATCTTTAAAAACCACAGAGGACATTTGGGACTATACACAGTTAAGTGTACATACACTGGCTAAAACAGTGTCGAGTACAAGTATGAAAGGAACCAAATGTCTAGTATTACTGTTCCTCAGTACTATTCGTAGTAGGTTATATAGCAACTTTATTAAGTTTAAAAATGTTAAGTTCAGTGGGTAAGATAAATTGGAAGACTGAAATTGACAACTATGTGACTCTGAAATCACTTGTCAGAGACTGTAAAGTTCAAAAGGCAAAGGAAGAAAACCAGATTTTATATAGGTATAAAATGGGAGACTGACTAGCCATGAAAACAGCAAGCAAATACCTAAGTTTTATTAACTATACTTAAATACCAGACCTGGATTAAAAATATGAGCGTGATACTGACTTAGAGTACCAAAAATATGACAAAGCTAAGACGTGCAAAAGTGAGCTGCAAAAAGGGATAATGGAAAAAAATTTTTAAAGTGGGGACATTCTGGGAGACACACCAAGGGTCCTTAAATATAACTAGAGATAGAAAAATAGCACCAAGGAAGAGGCTGAGTGACTGAAGAAGAGAAATCCAAACAGATGAAGTGGACTCTCCAAAAAAGAGACATGGTTAACACTTCAGCAATCTTAGAAATGGAGCCATAAGAGTGACTTATATACCAGAGATCATACTGTGATCCAAACATCTGAAGGGGCCCCTGGGTGGCTCAGTCAGTCAAGCGTCTGACTCTTGATCTGAGCTCAGGTCATGATCTCAGGGTCATGAGATCAAGGCCCACGTCGGGCTCTGCACTCAGCATGGAGTCTGCTACTCCCTCTTCCTCTGCTCCTCCTCACCACTCTGTCTTCGCTCCCTCTCAAATAAAATCTTAAAAGAAAAAAAAATAAACATCTGAAGACACTAGAAGTACCACTTTACTGTTTATGAACAGATCACAACTTCAAGTTGTTATTCCTGTTGTTGACACGTAAGAAAACTGCTTCTAAAAACATTACTGCCAAAGTACCGATGATCAAATTGATGAACATTTTTATTTTTACACTTAAAGGATGATGAATAACCATTACTAATCCTATTAAAGAAAACCCAACATCTCAAGCGGAAAGGATAACCATATTTACTCATTAAATGCCATTTAAGTTTTCTACAACACAACTTGAAAATACCCAGCATGCATGTTTAATCTCAGTACAATGGTTTCAAGACCAAGTATACATGTTACAAGCATCAAGGCTAGATTACAAATTATCATAGTCATCATCGTCATCATCATCGTCATCATCATCATCTTCTCGTTTTCTTTTCAATGCATTTGATGATTCATTGGCAGTATTTTGTGATGACACCATGTTAGTGGTAATAAGAATGTTTTTAGACCCAATTAATGATGGATTAATCAGAACATTCTGAACTGCGGATGTTGCAGGAATTGATGCTTTTACAGTTGGGGACTGTGAAGTGGGCATCTGTACTGTAAACCTTTGCCCTGTGAGGGACATTGGAGTCCCTACTTTAGTTGACACAGACATGGTTTGTGGGGTTGGTGTGCCAAGTGTGGGAGTACTTGGTCTGCTAGTAACTGAACCAACACTTAACCGTGGAACTGTTATTCTTCCCGCAGAAGTAGATGCCTTTTTTTGTAAAGACTTAAGTCTATAGTTTGGAGCAGTCAGGCAGTATCTATCAGGTGGCAACCTGGGGCCTGAATATGGCTTGATTAATGGCAAAGGAGTTTGATTTCTTTGCCTTGCAATATCTAATAAAAAATCTCTTGGGGGAGGAGAGGTAAAAGACTGATCAGCACGACACTGGATGGCCAATCGCACATCATCTGCATCAACAGTGGCTTTCTTAGCATGGCTTGAATAAATTTTTGCATCATCTAGAATTGTGGTCACATATCGGAAGGCAAACTCCAACATCTGATTTATAACTCTTGGCTCATATTCTGTAATCCCCATATCCTTCAGGATTTGTGCCATCATCTGTGCATCTTTCGGCATGCTCTTGGGAGAAGCCATCTTGCCAGACTCCATGATATCCGTTGATCAGACTTTAGATCATTTGAAAAAAATATGTACATTAGATCAAATCTGAAATAGTTACTTTAGTAGCAACTGTCAGGAACTTCAAAAATTTTAAATACTGTTAAGTTTTTGAAAATACATTTAAAATTGTTAAATGTTGTATCTTCTTAAAGAGGCACACTTAAAAGTTCCCTTTAAATTTATTGAATTTCTATCCTGTACAAATCATTACAGAATAAAAAAATGAAGACACAAATAAGGGAGTCATAAAAGACTGGGAGAAAACAAGGTAAAATAAAAACATTTATCACTTTAGAATAATGTGCAGTTGTGCGCAGGCATGAACTATCAAACGAAGCTAAGAAGAAACCATAGAACAAGTCATGTCCTACTGACTGAGTTCAAAATAATCTGTCCTTCCAGTGAGATCTATACTCACCATCTCCACAAATATGCTTGGTACCATCCAAACCTTTATGCGTTTGCCCATCTCAAAAACATTCTCCCCAAGTCCCATCTCTTCATGGAAGCCTTCCCAATTATTACCATTCAGAAGAACTACTGGCCAACAAAGTGGGGCAGGATGGGGTAGAATGGTCAAAACAACCAAGACATAGTACTACATACATATTACGTTTTCTTTCTACCGGTTTCCAACAGAGCATAAATTCCTTAATGGCACTCTGTCTCTGCTTTTTGTACCCTCTCACAAGTATAGTACTAACATTCCATTACCTACTCAACGCCAGTGTATCCCTTACCTTCTCGAGCTAAATCACCCACATTAATGTATTTCAGTCCTGATCTTGATGCAAGTTCTTTGCCTAGCGTGGTTTTTCCAACCCCTGGTGTACCTGTAAGACAAGCCACAGATACTTGTTAGACTTTAGCCACCTATCTACCCCTTTTAAAGTTTTCAACAACTGAAATGAAAAATGTCCTAATTAGCAATTCTCTGTGAATTAATACACACTATAACCTAATCAAAAACTACTCAAAGCCTGTTGCATAACAGAATCTCACCAAGTGTATTTGATGTGTCAGGAGTGGGGCTTGGGGGATTCTGATACCAATTCGCAGACTGCCTGCCACCATAACAGATACTCCCAGAGTAACACTAGCCATCTCAAATTACCATCATCTGTTTGCTTTAATTTTTAAAAAGTTAAGAAATTACTGGGGCGCCTGGGTAGCTCAGTCGTTAAGCGTCTGCCTTCGGCTCAGGTCATGATCCGAGGATCCTGGGATCGAGCCCCGCATTGGGCTCCCTGCTCGGCGGGAAGCCTGCTTCTCCCTCTCCCACTCCTTGCGCTTATGTTCCCTCTCTCACTGTCTGTCAAATAAATAAATAGAATCTTTAAAAAAAATTAAGAAATTACTTATGGAAAAAATTTAACCACTACGAAAGACGGCTATCACCCCGGGAATTTTACAGTAAAAAAGCTTCTGATGCTAATTCAACAAACGTACACGGCAAGTTAATTACCCTACCCTATAAATATTCGAACCCTTTTACCCAAATGTGATTGTCAGATACAAAGGAAAATGAAATACAGCCCATGAAGGCCTAAGGACAAGGCGTCCAGCATTAAAAGACCTAGTAAGGGTCAGAGAGTAAATTACATTATCTCGCTAAAGTTCTACAGACAACCCTGCTAAATAAGAAATTAACAGAATTTTACAAACAAAAACCAGATTCCGAAAGATTCGGCAGTTTGCCAGAAAGGGGACCCGAACAGGTCTCCCTCTCTCCCCGAGCGGCCTCGGGCCAACAAAACCAACATTCCCCGCCCCCTACCCCGCCTCCCGCAACGGTCGGAGGAACCGGTCTCGAGGCCCCGACACCTGCCACGCCGCGCGGCCCCCCACTAGCCTCGAAACAGAACACCGAACGGCACCCCTTCAGGCGCCCGACGCCCCACGGCACTCCGCGCCCCCGGACTATCCCGCCGCCCAGCGCCTCCCCGCCGCGCGCCTGACCGGTGAGCAGGATGTTCGGAAGCAACATGGTCCTCACCGCGCTGGCTCCGGGCGTCCAGGCCCACGCGCTTTACGCACAACAGGGAGGAGCCGGAAGCGGCGAGCTGCGGCAAGCGCCAGTGGCCCCGGGGGCTTCGAGGCCTTGTGCGGCGCTCGCGGCCCGTCTCCACCGCCTAGTCACTGAACAGTGGTTACCTGGCCTTCTATAGCACGCTTGCAGCGCAAGAGTCCAAGGCAGGGGCACAGGTCGGGTCCGCGCTTCGGGTCAGGCAATGCGGTAGATACCTAAGCCACTGGCGCCGTTGGCGGCCGCCCTTCTGCCTGTGTCGCCGAAGCGCCGACCGGCCTAGAAAGTCCCCGGGAGGCGGGACCTCCGAGAGGCTCGGCGCTGAGCCCGGGTAGGGCCGGGTGGTTGCCTTTCTGCTGGAGCAGAGCCTGGCTCCTTCGCTTCTCTCCGCCCACGAGGGGATGAAGCTCCCGGAAAGTAAGGCCGCCGCGGCTGCGGCTTTGGTCTGTGTATGTTCTAGAGACGCGAACCCATCTCTGCCTTAACGCCTCCCGAGCTCTCTTCGCTCCTCCTCCCGACCTGCCCATCCCATTTGGGGATAGAGGGTGGGGGTGCAGAATTCTGGCCTGGAGTCGGGACATGCGAGCTCCTCTCGCTGCGCTGATTGGTAGCATTACGTTGGACGAATGTCTGGGCTTAGTATCCCCAGTGCAGTGTGTGAGGGCGGGTGGTGGGTAGGCTAGAAGTCTTCTTGAAGGTCTTTTCTACCTCTGACGTCTCATTTCAGGAACCTGACATCATCCGGGACAGTTATCTTCTTTTTTAAAGGAGGTAATTGTCAGTCTTGTTTCTGAAGAGCGACTGCAGTCCTAACCGTAAAAAGTCTGCGTCTTTTATTTCGACCTGCCAACTATATTTAGTCAATAAGTGTTTTTTCCACCCATGTATCTCTTTGAATCTCCAAAGCAAAAATCTATTTAATGTGAATAGTTTGTGTGTGTGTGTACAATTTATTTTTTCGTGTATGGAGGCTTTTGCACGTTATATACCGTATGTGCATCCAAACCTTAAAAGTTCAATACACCTTCCAGTTTACAAGTTTGCGGACCTTAAAAAGCATTGCTTCGAGCTCACTTCAAACTGGTGAATTCACTAGTTTATGTAAACATTGCAGAGTTATTGAAGTCGGAAAAGAGTGTTGCCCCCAAATTTCCTAATATGTTCAAGTAAGGAAAAGAGTTACAAAGAAATATACAGTTAGATTTAAAGTTTTTGCCAAAGTAAGTGAAAGTCTGAATTTGTTACATGGTGAGTTTTTTTGAAATTTTGCGGGAAAAAAAACCCTGGAACTGTGATTTAAAATGAGGGAAATTTTAACTTTCAGCATAGAAGCTGCACAAATAGAATTGTCTGATTTTCTTACAGAATGTCGAATAGGTGTTTTTTCTGTTTTCTCTAATATGTTCTTGAGTCCGTATGAAAGACTGTTAATACCACCACATGTGGATTGACAGTTATAGTGATTAAAAGTAAACTTTATTTTAGCATTTTGACTTCTTTATGTTTACTATGTGATCTCATTAGTTCTTGAGCCTTTATCATACTGTGGATTATATCAGTTTATATTACATCTATTTTATAGTTTTTCCTAACTTGACATTTTTTTCTTTTGTTTCCTTAGGTGAATTATACTTTAATGTACTACAGGTTGTATACTACGGATGGGAACTATTAAAGTTTATAATGTCAAAAACTTTTCTTAGACCAAAGGTATCTTCCACAAAGGTATGATACACTAAAATGGCCATGTAATAATTGCCCAAAAAAGAATGGTAATTTTTGTGTATGTTCTTAATGACTTGTTATTGCCATCAAAGTAACAATGTCCAGTATCTGTTGTAATTGGTGATCTAAAAATTGTAATAATAAGTCGTGAAATGACTAAAAGCACAACCTTAATTTTTAAAAAGGTGTTTGCAATTCCAGTCACAAAGAAAGGCTGAAAACTCTGGAATGAAAGATCAATAGAAGAAAGAGAAACATATGAGTCATAGTTAGCGTTAAAGTGTAACAATAAGGGGCGCCAGTGGTTCAGTTGATGAGCATCTGACTCTTGGTTTTGGCTCAGGTCATGATCTCAGGGTTATGGGATTGAGCTCTGTGGCAGATTCCGCATTCAGTGCGGTGTCTGTTTGGGATTCTCTCCCTTTCTCTCCCTCCCACTCTGTCCCTCTCCTCACTGTCTCTCTCTCTTTCAAATAAATAAATAAATAAAATCTTTAAAAAACAGATGAATAAAAATAAAGCTTAACCACAAGCCCTGCCTCTTAAAAATCATATGTTTTCGTGTGCCAGTTCTCAGCAAGGCTAGTGGTAGAGTAGGATGGGGGTCAGTGTGTATCATGCTCATTTGCTGGGTTGTTATTTTCCTACTGGTGGGTCATATTTTTCTCTGATCTTAAGTAAATTATTAAACTTTGCTGTTTGTTTTTTTCCCAGTAAATAGGAGTCCACATTTATGTAAGAAATAAAACTATAAAATGTATAAGTAACTTACAGATCAGAATGGCAAGATCAGATTTGCTATCAAAAGTTTTACTATAACATGGTATTTTTACATATTCTCTCTTTTTTTAAAGATTTATTTTTTTTAATTTTTTTATTATTTTGAGAGAGAGAGCCTATGCAAGCTGGGGGGGGGAGGGGGCGCAGAAGGAGAGGGAGTCTTAAACGGGCTCTGTGTTGAGCATGGAGCCACCTCGGGGCTCAATCTCATGACCCTGAGATCACAACCTGAGCCAAAACCAAGAGTCGGAGCTCAACTGAGAGCCACCCAGGTGTCCCCCTTGTTTGTTTTTTTATATTTTATTTATTTATTTGAGAAAGAGAGAGAGCAAGCAGGAGCTGAGGGGAGGAGCAGAGAGAGAGGGAGAAGTAGGCTCGCCGCTGAGCAGGGAGCCGGAGGTGGGGCTCAATCCCAGGACCCTGGGATCACAACCTGAGCCGAAAGCAGATGCTTAACGGACTGAGCCAACCAGGTCCCCCTAAACTCTTAAAATTAGAAGCAAAGAGCCAAAATTGTAGTACTATAGACAGTCTTTTGAAGAAGAGGAAATGAATTATTTGGCTATGACTGAAATTTTTTTCCATAGGTCTTCATTTCTTTACTCACTGATAATATTCCTATCTTCTGTCTTTAAAGGGGGAGTGAAGTGTGACTTTCATTCCTGAAATAGTTCTACTCCCCAACTTGCTTTTCTTTAGCATTGTCTAATAAATGGTTCACAACTATGGCTGAGTATTCTTCAAGGAAAATATAATCTTGGTTCCACCTTACTAGCTAGCCAAGGAATTCAAAAGTCACGTACTAAGCTAGGTTTTTCTAGATTTATACTGTAGGAATATTAAGAAAATTCATCTTAAAAATTTTAGTTACTAAAAAAACCTTTTTAATACTTCCAAGTATTTTTAGGTTCAAACTGCTTAATTCATCATCTTTCTCTGTGTATCCTTACAAAGGATTCTAAAGAAAGGGTAATGATGAAGGGAAATGTGGAGAGATCAGCAGTTTCTGTAGACCAGAAGAACATGAAGTAGAACTCACTGATTTTGCTACTCTATTATCCCAGTTCTGTTTTCTTAGACAAATCTGGGAAACAAATCATCCTCCCTGGAAAGCCTGCCTCCCTTTTATGAAAGTACTATTTGCTTTAGTGGGCTGAAGAGAAATAAAATCAAGTCATAATTACAAATTATTCGTAGCATCAGGATTATTAGGCTCTATCTTCTCAGAGTCCTAAAGCTGATAGGGATTATTTGGATATATGCAATGGTTCTTAGTTTGTGAATGTATTAACCTGGTCAAGGCAGAAGGTTTACTCTTATGGTTATATATGGTTAAAATAAGATTTTATTTCTTTGTTTTGCTTCTTTTTTGACACATAATTTTAATATTTGTGTTTCAGACCTACAAATGAGCTTAAGAAGAATCAGCCTATTCTGTACTAGGAAGATTATAATTAGTAAAAAGAATTAAGTTTGTATTCTATATTCCTTTATATGGCATTTGTCATTACCCTGGTTAAGTGGACAAGTATGCATATGTACCTACTATGAAGTAAATAATACATATAGTGCCAGCTTTATTTAAAGAACTAATTTGTGAGGTTTTGATTTAAAATGTTGCAGATATATGAATATATATATATTTTTTGTAGAGTAATTTACTTATATGGGGAACAGATGTAGATAATGTAATATTTACATGCTTTCTTTTTTTTCAGGTAACAGACTGGGTAGACCCATCATTTGATGATTTTTCAGAGACTACAGGCATCTCTATTACTGCCACATCATTAGGTGTGAATAACTCAAGTCACAGAAGGAAAAATGTGCCTTCCAGATTAGAAAGTAGCAGATTTCTAGCTAGAAAAAGAGAAGAGCCATCTTCCTCAGAAAAGATTTATGGTCTAGAAAATTCAAAAGAGTATCTGTCTGAAAATGAACCATGGGTGGATAAATACAAGCCAGAAACTCAGGTACTAAAAAGGATGCAAACAGGTGCACATAATTTAACTTCCGGAAGAAGAGGAATGTATATTTTCAGATTATTACTCATAAAATATTTTTCTGAATGAATTAAAAAAAAACAGTAATTCCTAGTTTTTTTATGTTCCATGACTCAGCATTTCTCAAGTTATTCTGAAATTGTACCATTGGTTATTTGTCATAGATTTAATTTAATCCCAATATAGAATTTTATTTTTTTCTTAAGTGTAATATCTCTCCCTGTTTATTCCCTTCCCAAAATGTATTTCAGGATTTTAAAAAATTATGTAATTCCAAACCTGCCCCAAATTCTCATACAATGGTGTCAGTTTTAAGAACGGAATTTTTCAATATAAAAAATGAAGTGTAATAGCAAAGACTTTTTAATTCTTGTATCATGTTGTTTGCTAGTTTTTTCATTAAAAGTGCTTAATTTAGATTAATGTGTGCTGCTATACCAAAAATTCTTGAGTTAAAATGTTTTATTTTAAACTTGAAATTTTTAGCATGAACTTGCTGTGCATAAAAAGAAAATTGAAGAAGTTGAAACCTGGTTAAAAGCTAAAGTCTTAGAAGGGCAACCAAAACAGGTAATTCAATAAGAAATGTGTTTTAAAATATGTAACATCAAATGTTCCTCTGATTTACAGTTGGTTGTAAGAAGTTAAACTTTTTAAAAAGATTTATTTATTTATTTGACAGAGAAAGAGAAAGTACTCACAAGCAGGGGGAGCGGCAGGCAGAGGGAGAGGGAGAAGCAGCCTCCCCACGGAGCAGGGAGCCTGTGTGGGGATTGATCCCAGGACTCTGGGATCATGACCTGAGCCGAAGTCACATGTTTAATCGACTGAGCCACCCAGGCACCCAGAAGTTAAACTTTTATGATGACTCTGTTAAGTCCAGATCACCTATAATAAAAAAGTCTCTGATTTACTACTACAAACTTCACTAAAAGACTCAGAGATTTTGAGTTTTCTCCTTTACTTGTACTTCTTTTCCCCATTTATGTCTCATCATCATCATAAAGCGTAATAAACCAGTTAGGGTTCTAGTATATTTAGCACATCAGATTATCTCATGCTGAAGCAAGCAGGCAAATTACATATTAGTTTTTGTACTAAATACAGCCTAAAACAGTCATCATTCATTTTAAGGCAGATGTTTTTTGTTTCACTTCCTACTTCTGTAATTACTTTTAGCCTCCAAGCTAGAATATTCTTTCTCTTTTTAAACTTTGAGATTCTCCAAACATAAAGGAAAGTAGAATAATAAATGAATACTCTTATGCCTATTATATAACCATCATTTTCACTCTTAAATATTCAATTATGAATATGTGACATTTTAGTCAGACTTCTGGAAACATCAGTATGCCTCTTTTTTTTTTAAATAAGGCATTTTTCCTAATTAACGATATATACCATTATTCTGTCTAAAAAAATTAATTCCTTTTTTTTTTTTTAAGATTTTATTTATTTATTTGACAGAGAGAGACACAGCGAGAGAGGGAACACAAGCAGGGAGAGTGGGAGAGGGAGAAGCAAGCTTCCCGTGGAGCAGGGAGCCCGACGCGGGGCTCGATCCCAGGACCCTGGGGTCATGACCTGAGCCGAAGGCAGATGCTTAACGACTGAGCTACCCAGGCGCCCCACAAAATTAATTCCTTAATTTTATCTAATGCTCGTTTCATATTCACATTTCTCTATTTGTCTGCAAAATGTCATTTATGGTGGATTTGTTACAACCAGGATCTAATAAAGGACTACATGTTGCATTTGATTCTTACACCTCTTAGGGCTATTAAAATCTAGAATGATTCTCTTTTACCCTCTTTTTTTCTCTAAGACATTGACTTACTGAAGAGTCCAGGCCAGGTGACATATAGAACTCTCACATTATGGATTTGTCAGGTTGTTTCCTCATTGTGATGACTAACTTGTTCTTCTACCTTGCATTTCCTGTGGCCTGGAAATTTGAATCAAGGGTTTGATTAGACTCAAGTTCAACATTTTTGTAAGAATACTTTTTAGGTCGGGGCGCCTGGGTGGCTCAGTTGTTAAGCATCTGCCTTTGGCTCAGGTCATGATCCCAGTGTCCTGGGATTGAGCCCCGCGTCGGGCTCCCTGCTCTGCAGGAAGCCTGCTTCTCCCTCTCCCACTCCACCTGCTTGTGTTCCCTCTCTTGGTGTGTCTCTTTCTCCCAAATAAATAAATAAAATCTTTAAAAATATATATATACTTTCTAGGTCATGGTGTATGTTTTATATTACACCATATCAGAAAATATGTTTGGTTCTTCTGCTGTCTTTCATGTTACGTTTGATCACTAAGTTAAGGAAATAATAGTCAAAAATCTTTTTTTTTAAGATTCTATTCATTTATTAGAGAGCATGAGTTGGGGGCAGGGAGAGGGAGAAGCAAACTCCCTGCTGAGTAGGGAACCTACCAACTAGGGGCTTAATCCCAGGACCCTAGGATCATGACCTCAGCCAAAGGCAGACACTTAACTGACTGAGCCACCCAGGCGCCCCAATAATAGTCAGAAATTTTCCCTTGCAACTGCAACATAATCTATGGGCATAGAGATAATTTCACAATGTTAAATGTCCAGTTCCCCAGCAGTCTTTCACATAAGTGCTTTAGTGTCCATTTTCAGTCCTTGCCTGAATCAGTTATTTTGTTAAAATTGTGAAATGGTGATGATTTTTTTTTTTTTAAGATTTTATTTATTGGGACGCCTGGGCGGCTCAGTTGGTTAGGGGTTGTGGGATCAGCGTTCCTGGGATTGAGTCCTGCATCAGGCTTCTCGCTCAGCGGGGAATTGGCTTCTCCCTCTTCCTGCTGCTCCCCTTGCTTGTGCGCACTCTCTCCTCTCTCTTGGACAAATACCTAAAATCTTTAAGAAAATAAAAGCTTCTTCCCTCTAAGAAGTTAGATTCTCACCAATCATAATATTCTTTATTATACAAAAGTTCAATGATAACAGTAATTATAAGACATTTTTATTCAAAAATATTTTTGAGGGGTGCCTGGGTGGCTCAATCGTTAAGCGTCTGCCTTCGGCTCAGGTCATAGTCCCAGGGTCCTGGGATCGAGCCCCGCATCGGGCTCCCTGCTCAGCAGGAAGCCTGCTTCTCCCTCTCCCACTCCCCCTGCTTGTGTTCCCTCTCTCACTCTGTCTCTCTCTCTCAAATAAATAAAATCTTTAAAAAAAAGAAATTTGATAACTTGTAGATTTTTCTATGGGCAAGCTAAAATTATTTTTTCTTAAATTTATCATAAGTACTTAAAATATACACTGACTTTAATTTTTCAGGGCAACATCTTCAAAATATGATAAAACTGTTATAGTGTGATGGAAATGTACAGCATAGGGGATATGGTCAGTAATATTGCAGTAACTTTGTATGGTGACAGATGATAACTAGACTTAGAATATTTTAATGACATAAAAATATAGAATCGAAAAAATATGTACATATGAAACTATTAGGATGCCATATGCCATTTATACTTCAATTTTAAAAAAAGAAAACTATTATAATGTAAATGATGGGAATATTAACAGAAGTCTTCATGTTTTAGTGTTCTGATAGACTATCTCGCACTTCTCTTATTGGAAGCAAAACTTTTGCTATGTAGCTCTACTCACTGTGTCAAAAAACAAGACACTTGATTCTGTTGTATAAGAAACATACATGGGTGCCCATGCTTGATCTTCCTTTTCTTTTTTTAAAAGTAATCTGCTTGGAAGTAGTCAGTTCTCATTATTTACATTAGGTATGTCCTGTAAAGTTACTAGAAACAATAAGCAAATAATGAGTCATAGTTCTAAGAGAAATAAGGGGTTAGATTCCTGCAAAATGGTCTTCCTCTGGTCACATTTACGTCAACTCATCAGTATATAACCTTGTTTTCTATTTGTTTTTGTTCAGAGATACCATATTTAATATATATTATTGAATCATTAAAGTCATGGCTGATACCACTATAACTCATGCACTCATACATTTTAAAAAGTGAGACTGGTTGTCTTCTGGGGCCACGTAGAAGGCCCTTATTTATATTAGCAAAGGTAAACAGTTGAGCAAGGATTATAGCCCACCAGGGAATGTAGGAAATCATCTTCCCCTGATACTTTTTTTTAGCTTTAACTTTTTTATCAGATTTATTATACGAGGAGATAATTATTGTGACCTGCCACCTCTAGTCTCTCTTTGGAGTTCTGTCTCTGGAAAATATGTTTCTTATTACACATTTCTTAAAGATTCTGATATCCTAACTACCATCTTCCCATAAGAATATTATACTTGTTTAATATTAAAGCATATAATCCAAAGAGGTCTGTATTAAGATTGAATTTTGAGTTCAGGTAACCTCTAAAAATACTTGTTTCAGACATTACCTCCTTAATCTAGCTGAAGTTTAGTTGTTTTACTTTGACTACTAAGTAGTCCTTGGGAGGGACATAATGCAAGAATTGAAGAACTATCAGAAGTTATGCTTAAAGTTTAGGAAATAAGATTATCCTCTTTTATCTAAAGATGGTATAATCCAGCTAACATCAGTGTAAAATTTAGTCAGCTTATACCAGATATTTAATAAATATTTATAGAAGTAATTTATATTTGAAAGAAAATTCAAACATAATATTCTAGCAGTGATTTTGATTTTTGATTAATGTTTGTTTTTGGTTTTAGGGTGGGTCTATTTTATTAATAACAGGTCCTCCTGGATGTGGAAAAACAACAACTATAAAAATACTATCAAAGGAGCATGGTATTCAAGTACAAGAGTGGATTAATCCAATTTTACCAGACTTCCAAAAAGATGATTTCAAGGAGATACTTAATCCTGGTAAGATTTGCTATGAAGGTAGTGGAAATAGTGGGAAAAGTCTATGTATGTTTTGTTGTTTTTTTTTTTTTTAAGATTTTATTTATTTATTTGACAGAGAGAGACACAGCAAGAGAGGGAACACAAGCAGGGGGAGTGGGAGAGGGAGAAACAGGCTTCCCGCAGAGCAGGGAGCCCGACGCGGGGCTCGATCCCAGGACCCTGGGATCATGACCTGAGCCGAAGACAGACGCTTAACGACTGAGCCACCCAGGCGCCCCTAAAGTCTATGTATGTTTAAAGGAGGTTTGAAATGAATTCCCCATCTATATTCTTGAGATGCCTAAGATCCTTTTGGGTATATGTTTTTGTGAGAAAATATATGTTGTCACCCCTATGCTAGATTGGCATCTGCCCACTATCAAAAGCTTCACAAAATGAGAGTAGCAATCAGATTAAACTATATGAGACCATTTTCTTTCATACTTCCCAGTTTCAGAAAAGTATTTTCAGGAGAAGAGGGGAAGCTTGCTTCTAGTAGAGGAGAATGGGATTCTTTGAGGATTAAGTCTGACTAATTGATTCATCATCAACACAACTCATTTGGAGTATTTTCATTGTAGAGGCAAAGATATAAATGTTTGGGGCGCCTGGGTGGCTCAGTTGTTAAGCGTCTGCCTTCGGCTCAGGTCTTGATCCCAGGGTCCTGGGATCGAGCCCTGCATCGGGTTCCCTGCTCGGCAGGAAGCCTGCTTCTCCCTCTCCCACTCCCCTTGCTTGTGTTCCCTCTCTTGCTGTCTCTCTCTGTCAAATAAATAAAGTCTTTAAAAAAAAAAAAAAAGATATAAATGTTTTTACCAGTTGTGTAACTATTACATTGACAGCTGTGTTCTAAAGTCAGTTAATTCCATATTAACATTCATTGTTACAGAAAATTCACTGTGATCCATGATGACTCTTATCTTTTGAAATGAATATCCTATTTTAAATTTGTGCAGTTTTTGGGCGCCTGGGTGGCTCGGTTGGTTAAGCGACTGCCTTCGGCTTGGGTTGTGATCCCGGAGTCCTGGGATCGAGTCCCACATCCGGCTCCCGGCTCAGTGGGGAGCCTACTTCTCCCTCTGACCCTCTCCCCTCTCATGCTGTTTCTCTCTTGCTCGCGCTCTAATAAGTAAATAAATAAAATCTTGAAAAAAAAAATTTGTACAGTTTTGCCTAAATAGAAAAATCTACAATGTTGTAAGCTCCTTCAGGTATATGCAAATATATTCAGTAACATATATGTGTGTGTTATATATGTATGTGTAATTTTGATATATATATAATATGTTGAAAGTAAAAGTGTTAAATATGTTTTCTTTCAGAATCCAGTTTCCATGTATTTCCCTACCAGTCTCAGATAGCAGTTTTTAAAGAGTTTCTACTAAGAGCAACAAAGTATAACAAACTACAAATGCTTGGAGATGAACTAAGAACTGATAAGAGGATAATTCTGGTTGAAGTATGGACAAATTTTGAGATCCTGGTGTAACTATTGAGTAAATAACTGCAAGATATATCTTATTGATAGTGCCATTAACTCTCTCCATAGTATTAATAGTGATAAAACGTAATGTAAAAGCTCGGTGATAGCAGAAACCTCAGGTCTTTTTCAGTAAACTTGAATAGAGTAGCTATAGGTTAATGAAATTTAAAATTTTAATGCCTTCAGTATAGAAAAGCAAAAGAAATAATTTGGAAAATTATGTCTTAGTGACAATACTGTGACTAGTAGTAATCATAAGAAATTTGATTGAAAATTGGGTTTCCCATTGATAGATTTTATTGTTTGGACATCTACTTTTTCACGTTTTCCTTAATTTCTGTAAAAGTTTTAGTTGCAATACATTGAATAGGTAACGTTTTTTCCCTAATATGGTAAATATGAATCTTGTATAAATTTATACAATAATAAAACAATAATATTTATCATTTTTCAATAGGATTTACCTAACCAGTTTTATCGAAATTCTCATACTTTACATGAAATTCTCAGGTGAGTTTCAGTGAAATTTTCTCAAACTTTGAATAAAATGGCAATAGCTTATATTTCAACATTGCTATACTCTATTCTAGGAAATATGTGCACACTGGTCGATGTCCTCTAATATTTATAATTTCTGACAGTCTCAGTGGAGATAATAATCAAAGGTTACTGTTTCCCAAAGAAATTCAGGAAGAGTGTGCTATAGCAAACATTAGGTAAGAACGAAATTTCTGCTTGTAATGCTCACATACATGTTATATTTATAAGTTGATCATCTAAACACTTTCTTTATAAAACTTTTAACAGTTTTAACCCTGTGGCACCAACAATTATGATGAAATTTCTTAATCGAATAGTGACAATGGAAGCTAACAAGGTAAGTCTCTTAAGAACTGATTAATTTGAATCTTACATTGTAATTTTAGAAAGCCACACTTGGAGTTAGAAACATATTATTTCACTTTTTAGAATTAAAATATTTGTTTACATTTGTCAGGCCTATCATTCTAGAAAAGGCAGGAAATACTGATCTTAAAAATCCCTAACTTTGGGGCGCCTGGGTGGCTCAGTCGTTAAGTGTCTGCCTTCGGCTCAGGTCATGATCCCAGGGTCCTGGGATCGAACCCCGCACCGGGCTCCCTGCTCGGCGGGAAGCCTGCTTCTCCCTTTCCCACTCCCCCTGCTTGTGTTCCCTCTGTTGCTGTATCTCTCTCTGTCAAATAAATAAAATCTTTAAAAAAAAAAAAAAAAGAAAAGGGGCGCCTGGGTGGCTCAGTCGTTAAGCGTCTGCCTTCGGCTCAGGTCGTGATCCCAGGACCCTGGGATCGAGCCCCACATCGGGCTCCCTGCTCCGCGGGGAAGCCTGCTTCTCCCTCTCCTACTCCCCCTGCTTGTGTTCCCTCTCTCGCTATGTCTCTCTCTGTCAAATAAATAAATAAAATCTTTAAAAAAAAAAAAAAAAAAGAAAAAAGAAAAAATCCCTTTCTCTATTATTAAACCTAGCTTTCTCTTTCACATTGAAGTAAATTTCCCTTTGCTTGGCTTAGTGCTATAAATTGTGTCTATTATCAAGAAACTGTTTCCTGGCATCTAGGTACATTAGTTATCAACAGTCCAACTCTACTTTTGTCCTGTTGTCAATTTTTTTTTTTAATTTAATAGTATGTTTATTGTGGTAAGAAACATCAAAATTTACTATCTTAACCATTTATTTTCTGACGTTATGAAGATACACTTGACATATAATATTATTTAAGTTTAGTAAGTTGAAGGTGTACAGCACATTGATTTGATATACTTACGTATTGCAGAATGATCACCGCTATAGTATTATACAACACCTCCATCACTTCATGTAATTACCATTTCTTTTTTGTGGTGAGAATATTTAAGATCTACTCAGCAGCTTTCAAGTAGTTATACAGTATTATCAACTATACCATCTTAGCCATTTTTAAGTGTACAGTTCAGTAGTATTATGTATATTAATATTCTTATAAAACAGCTGTCATTTTTTTTTTCAAAGATTTTACTTATTTATTTGTCAGAGAGACAGAGGCAGGCAGAGGGAGAAGCAGGCTCCCCACTGAGCAAGGAGCCCGATGAGGGATTCAGTCCCAGCACCCTGGGATCATGACCTGAGCCGAAGGCAGACGCATAACTGACTGAGCCACCCAGGCGTCCCAGCTGTCATTTTTTTTTTTTTTAAGATTTTATTTATTTTTTTGACAGAGAGAGAGAGATAGCGAGAGCAGGAACACAAGCAGGGGGAGTGGAAGAAGGAGAAGCAGGCTTCCCAGTGAGCAGGGAGCCCGATGCGGGGCTCCATCCCAGGACTCTGGGATCATGACCTGAGCGGAAGGCAGACGCTTAATGACTGAGCCACCCAGGCGCCCCCCAGCGGTCATTTTTAATACATCTTTTTTTTTTTTTTCTATCTTTCAAATCAACATAATGTTAAAATAAATTGATGGAACTTCTCCCAGCAGCATGATTCTAAGAGGCCCTACTACTACAGATCAACTAGATCTTGCATGAAATGTAAGGGTTTGGTTTTTTTTTTTGCATCACTTGGATCATAGTAACTGAGGGAAATCTCCAAGCGAGAGTTTGCTTTGAGGATTAAACAAAATTATGTAGAGCACTTAGTGGAATAAATAAAAACTATTAATAGTGAAAAATTAGAAAGAAACTGAATCCAGTAATAGAGGGAGCAGTTATTATGGTGAGGTATCATGTAATTGATTAGTGTTTTGAGAATATTTAGTGACATGAGGAAATACAATTTAATGTCAAGTTATAAATAACAAGATGCAGGGGCGCCTGGCTGGCTCATTTGGAAGTGTGGAACTTTTATCGCAGGGCTGTGACCTCATTCTGTGTAGAGATTACTTTAAATAAATAAATGAAGTTAACAATGCTAACAATAGAAATTCTGTCTTCAGCCCTTGATAAATGTCAGGCACTATGCAAAGTATTTTTACATACCTGATCTTTTTTTTTTTTTTTTTTTTTTGATTTTATTTATTTATCTGACAGAGAGACACAGCAAGAGAGGGAACACAAGCAGGGGGAGTGGGAGAGGGAGAAGCAGGCTTCCCGCCGAGAAGGGAGCCCGATGCGGGGCTCGATCCCAGGACCCCGGGATCACGACCCGAGCTGAAGGTAGACGCTCAACCGACTGAGCCACCCAGGCACCCCTACATACCTGATCTTATTAAATTTCACCACAACCATACAAAATTGGTACATAATCCCTATTTTACAGATAAGGAAACAGCTTTTGGGGGGAAATAACTTGCATAATATCCCACAACTATTAAGTATCAGATAGGTTTGCAGTTTCATTCTCACTCCATTTCACTGTGCTAAAAAAAACAATTTTCAGTAACAGCAGAATGCACATATATACTTGAACCTGTACGTACTAGAAGAAAGTACATAAAAATGCTGAGTGTGATTGGTTCTGGATAGTAGGATTACTTGTGATTTTTTTTTTTAATGTCTTTAAAAAAAAGAAACAAACTACGTTCTGTACCAGGAGCATAACTACAAATTACAGCTTTTAAATATTTATTAAAGAAACATTGAGCATTAATAAAAATAATCAACACCATAGCACCTTAACACATTAACTCAAATTTTTTTTTTAAGACTAAGTAGTTAAATTGCAAATGGCATTCACTTTAGCAAGTTGTGTTGGAATAGTAAAAAGAGATACTGTGACTTTTTTGTTACCAAGTTAACATGCTGTACCTTAACTAATGGACCTGCAAGAATGTTAGAACTAGTATTTTTCTTTTTTTTAAGATTTTTTAATATTTAAATAACCTCTACACCCGCCACGGGGCTCGAACTTACAACCCGAAGATCAAGAGTCAAATGCTCTACTGACTGAGTCAGCCAGGTGCCCCTAGAACTAGTATACTTTTGATATTATTGTTGATACTGTTACATCACAGGAGCAACAACCAGCACACTATTCAAGTCTTTCAAGCTTTTATAAGATCAAATGTTGAGATACTGTCTGGGGTCTCCAAGGATGATAATGATGGTAGAGGAAAATCAAAACATTTTAATCTCTGGCATTCTGTAGCTCAGTTAATGATTTAAAAAAGAGTGTTGACATCTTAAGTGATCTAGTTGAAAGAAAGAATGGTGAGTATGTTAGGTTTGGGCTTTTTTGAGTTTAATTAGATGTTTTTCTGTTTTTACAAGAAAAAAAGATCTTTATTCTTTGTAATATCATTAAGTATGTAAAGTGTGATCACACATTTCAACCACATTTGTGTGTTCAAAGTGATTAACATCCATGGTATTTCCTTCAGCTACCAAGGATCATAATTTCAAATTACATTTCCTGGGGCACCTGGGTGGTTCAGTCCGTTAAGCGTCTGCCTTCAGCTCAGGTCATGATTCTAGGGTCCTGGGATCAAGCCCTGCGTCAGCCTCCCTGTTCAATGAAGAGTCTGCTTCTCCCTCTGCCCTTCCCCCCACTCATGCTCTCTCTCTTACACTATCTCTCTTTCAAATAAATGGATGAAATCTTTAAAAAAAAAATTACATTTCCTTTTTGGCAAGTAATCCAAACTAGAATTTTTCAAAAACAAATACTCTTCTTGAAACAATTTTAAATTAAAGAAATGTATTCACAATAAAAACGAAGTTTATTTGGAAGAGAAAATTCACAGATACGAGCAAGAAAATTTTGTAAAAGAATAATGAAGAGAGACTTGCTGTCTATGTATTGGAACATAATGTAAAACTATAAATATTACAAGCTGTGTACTATTGACACAGTAACGGACAAAAGGAAGGATTCAGTAAGACAGCACAGAAATAGATCAGTATGTGTAAATGGCAATTTTCTGTATAATGGAAATAGTATTTTACATCACTGGGGAAAGAGGAGACTATTATAATTAATAAATGGTATTTGCACAATTGGATATCCATATGGAAAAACATAAGGTTGCATCTTTATACTATGCACAAAAATAATTTCTAGGGGCGCCTAGGTGGCTCAGTTGGTTAAGCCTCTGACTTGATTTTGGCTCAGGTCATGATCTCAGGGTCCTTAGATGAGCCCTGCATTGGGCTGTGCGCTCAGTGCTTGAGAATCTTGCCCTCTGCCCCCTCTCCCCTTGCGCATGCACTCTCTCTCTCTAAAATAAATAATCTTTAGAAAAATAATAATAATTTCTAGGTAGATTAAAGATCTTATTGCAAAAACCAAAATGACAATAGTATTTTTTTTTTAAGATTTTATTTATTTATTTGAGAGAGAGAATGAGCAGTAGGGAGGGACAGAGGGGAAGAGAGGGAAAAGCGTACTCCCTGCTGAGCAGGAAGCCTGACCTGGGGCTCCATCCCAGGACCTGGAAATCATGACCTGAGCGGAAGGCAGATCCTTAATCTACTGAGCCACCCAGGTGCCCCAAAATGAGAATAGTATTAAGAAAAAGTACTGACTTTGGTTTGAAGGAAAGTATTCCTAAGTAAGAAACAAAAGCCCTAAAAACATTGGATTTACTTCAAAAAAATGAAAAGCTTAGGAAATGATAGAAGGCATGGTAAGCTAAGTTAAAAGACAAGCATGAGAATGGAAGAAAATATTTGCAAGTTATGTAACAAAGTATTAACACATGAATATATAAAAATGTGCCTACCTAAAAAGGCTAAAAACGGGTGCCTGGGTGGCTCGGTTGGTTAAGCATCTGCCTTTGCCTGAGTTCATGATCCTGGAGTCCCAGGACCGAGCTTCACCTTGGGATCCCTGCTCAGCAGGGAGTGTGCTTATCCCTCTGCCCCTCATCCCTCTTGTGCTTTCTCACTCGCTCGCTCGCTCTCTCGCAAAAATAAATAAATAAAATCTTTAAAAAAATAAATCAATAAAAATTCTAAGAACAGAGAAGCCAATACACAGAGTAATACAAATGGCTATAAACATGAGAGGTGTTTGGCCCTACTAGGAATCAAAGAAAATTAATACTTAAACCAGACACCATGGGGCGCGTGGGTGGCTCAGTCATTAAGCATCTGCCTTCGGCTCAGGTCATGATCCCAGGGTCCTGGGATCGAGCCCCACATTGGGGTCCCTGCTCGGTGGGAAGCCTGCTTCTCCCTCTCCCACTCCCCCTGCTTGTGTTCCCTCTCTCACTGTCTTGCTCTGTCAAAAAATAAATAAAATCTTTAAAAATAAATTAAATAAATAAACCAGACACCATTTTTCATGTATCAGTTTGCAAAAGTTTTAAGAGATCAATAAACAAGATTGCCAAAAATAAAGAAAAAATGGGCACTCTCACATACCACTGGTAGAAAAAATTAAATTAGGGGCGCCTGGGTGGCTCGGTTGTTAAGTGTCTGCCTTCGGCTCAGGTCATGATCCCAGAGTCCTGGGATCGAGCCCCACATTGGGCTCCCTGCTAGGTGGGAAGCCTGCTTCTCCCTCTCCCATTCCCCCTTCTTGTGTTCCCTCTCTCGCTGTGTCTCTCTCTGTCAAATAAATAAAATCTTAAAAAAAAAAAAAGAAAAAAATTAAAATTAGTAATTGTTAGAGACACTTTGGAGGGAATTTTCCTTCTACACAAATATATATATCTTTTTTAAAGATATATTTATTTATTAGAGAACGGGTGCATGTGTGCACAAGCAGGGGGAGGGGCAGAGGGAGAGAATCTCAAGCAGACTCCCACTGAGCATGGAGCCCACTGCAGGACTCAATCCCAGGACCCTGAGATCATGACCTGGATTCAACTTAAGTCATGTTGTCAGTAAACCATTAGGAGTTTCTTAAGGTGGAGAGGGATAGATAAATTTTTCTGGTCTTATACTTGAACTGACAAGGGAGTAATAATTCGTATATATGTATGGATATATATTATAGTAAGAACTTCAAAATATAACAGTCCAAGTAAATAAGTAAAATTATTTTATACTCTTGAATTTATCTTAAGCTATGATAAATCATTGACTTTCTGAGCAGATTGGCGTTTAACATGGAAGCTTTTTAGCATCTTTAAAAGATTCTAATGTACTTTTTCATTTAGTTGAGAGAATGAGGGAGTGTTTTTTTGGTTTTAGAAACTAGTTTTTTAAACTTTAATATTTTTCATTTTAGAATGGAGGAAATATTATTATCCCTGATAAAAGTTCTCTAGAGTTGCTCTGTCAAGGATGTTCTGGTGATATCAGAAGTGCAATAAACAGCCTCCAGTTTTCTTCTTCAAAAGGTAACTATGAAAGATAAATTCTTACTGCATTGTGTAGGCGACTTTCTCTTAATTGTTCATGAATCTGAATCAAACTAAACATTTTAACTTACTGATATATATCTCCATCTACTGTTCTTTTTGAGACCGTTCTATAAAATCATGTATGTACACGTACATACACACACCCCTGTGAATATGTCATTGTATATATCTGTGTACCTGAGACAAAACCTGATTGATTTATGTGGTTTGCTACTTTACTTTTTAAAGTTAATTTGGATGAGACTTCCTGGGTGAAAATCCTGGCTCTGCCGTTTACTGGTGAATAATCTTGCAAATGACAATCATTTTGTGCCTGCATATCCTCACCTTTTATATGAGAACCTCTCTTACAGACTTGTGTGAAAGTGAGTTAATACTTGTAGAGTGTTTATTCCAGTGCTTGATATATATTAAGGAGTCAGGAAATGGTCAGCTATTAATGAATTTTAATTCATTAATGGATGGCTCTGTTGGTTAAGCATCTGACTCCTGATTTCAGCTCAGGTCATGATCTCAGGGTTGTGAGATCAAGCCCCACATGGGGTTGCATACTGGGCATGGAACCTGCTTGAGGTTCTCCTGTCCCTCTCCCCGCTGAGTGCATGTGCATGTGTTCTATCTCCAAAATAAATAAATCTTTTAAATACATAGTATTTTGCTTACGTAGATTTACTTTTATATTTTTAATTTGTATGATATATTTAATAAATTGACTTACCTTTGTTGTAAAAAAGGTGCAGTGTCATGCTATATTAAAAGAGATAGCACAGGGGCGCCTTTGTGGCTCAATCAGTTAAGCATCTGACTCTTAATCTTAGCTCAGGTCTTAATCTCAGGGTCCTGAGTTCAAGCCCTGTGTTGGGCTCCACGTTGGGCATGGAGCCTACTTAAAAATAAGAGAAAGTGGCGCCTAGGTGGCTCAGTAGGTTGAGCGACTGACTCCTGATTTTGGCTCAGGTCATGATCTCCTGGGTCATGGATGGAGCCCCATGTGGGGCTTGGCGCTCAGCAGGGAGTCTGCTTCAAGGTTCTCTCCCTCTGCGCCTCCCCCTACTCGTGTGCTTGCATGCTCGTTCTCCCTCGCTCTCAAATAAATAAATCTTTTTTTTTTTAAAGATTTTATTTATTTGACAGAGACACAGCGAGAGAGGGAACACAAGCAAGGGGAGTGGGAGAGGGAGAAGCAGGCTTCCTGCGGAGCAGGGAGCCCGATTCAGGACTCGATCCCAGGACCCTGGGATCATGACCTGAGCTGAAGGCAGTCGCTTAACCAACTGAGCCACCCAGGCGCCCATGTCTTCTGTTATTTTTAACACAAACTGTTGAGGTTTGTATGGCTGCCGCATAATGCCTGCCGGGCATTCAAATACACATCTTTCCAATTCGCAAAGAAAAAAAAATTTTTTTAAAGATTTTATCTATTCATGAGAGATAGAGAGAGAGAGAGAGAGAGAGAGAGAGAGGCAGAGGGAGAAGCAGGCTTCCTGCGGAGCAGGGAGCCCGATGTGGGGCTCGATCCCAGGACCCTGAGACCATGACCTGAGCTGAAGGCAGACGCCCAACGACTGAGCCACCCAGGCGCCCCTCAAATAAATACGAAAAAATAGAGAAAGAGAGAGATAGCACATGGTTTCTTGTACATGGTTCTCATCAGAAAACATTTAACAAGCACCCTACTTGATGTTTCACATTGAAAAATTGACCTTGAAAAATTAAAAGCCATCTTTGGAGCTCTCAAAATCCACCTGCAATCCTAGCATCTACCTACAAATATAACCTGTTTGTTTAGTTTATATCTTTTGTTTTTCAAAATAACTGTAGAGAAGAGTAAATAGGCAGCGTAATACAACCGAAACCAGAATTCTGCTTATTCCTATAGAAACATAAGTGTAAATGGTGCTTAGGTTCACTACTGGAATTATGGGTTGGGAAGGCTGAAGTAGGCCAGTCTGCAGTCCTGTCATTTATAACCTTATTACTCTGAGCTCAGAAATTTTAAAGGGAAGAAAATATTTTTTGAGTGGGTCAGGAACTGTATTAGTAAGCATATATTGCTTCATTTAATTCTTGACCAGCTTAATGAGATAAACAATAATAATCAAACCCAGGGCGCCTGGGTGGCTCAGATGGTTGAACGTCTGCCTTCGGCTCAGGTCATGATCCCAGGGTCCTGGGATCGAGTCCCGCATCGGGCTCCCTGCTCCTTGGGAGCCTGCTTCTCCCTCTGCCTCTCTCTCTCTGTCTCTCATGAATAAATAAATAAAAATCTTAAAAAAAAAAAAAAAAAGAATCAAACCCAGATTCGATGTTCTTTTTGCTCTTCCAGGCTACTTTTCTTAAGTGATGCATTCTGAGTTTTGAACAGTAGATTTACCAATGAAATTTCAACACAGGCATATTCATAAATTAAAGACTCCCCAAATCAGTAGAGATATAATACAGAATAGTTGTTGAACATGCACTACAGAACTGTACTGCCTGGATTCAAATCACTTACTAGCTGATGACCTTGAGGCAGTTACTTAATCTCTTTTTATGTCCTACTCCTGTCTTTGATGTGTGTAATAATAGTTCTCACCTAATCAAGTTATTTTGAGGATTTAGTTGGCTAATACATATCATACACCAAGAACAGTACCTTGCACCAGCAGTACCATGAGAATTCAAAATGATAGGCCTATATTAGAGAATGTGTTTATGGATGAAAATTTGAAATCTGTGTCATAAGGTACTTTTAGATGATGTTTTATTCCATTTTAATAGTGTAGCAACCCAAAGACAACTGAGTTCACAAATTTTGTAATTACGGTTTATTAGAAAAAATATATTTTAATTTGACTATTTAGTGTAACTTACATAAAATGTCAGTTTTATTTTTCATATTTTAATTTTATTTTCAATATTGTCTCTTGGGTGTATATTATTTAGGAGAAAATCGTTTATGGCCAAGGAAGAAAGGAGTGTCTTCAATAAAATCAGATGCTGCGCTGTCAAAATCAAAACAAAGGAAAAAAACTGATAGGGTTTTTGAAAACCAAGAGGTCCAAGCTATTGGTGGCAAAGATGTTTCTCTTTTTCTCTTCAGAGCTCTGGGGAAAATATTATATTGTAAAAGTAAGAAAATCTGATATGTTTTTTAAAAAATCTGTTAGGTATTAGTCTTACAACTGAAATTAAATACCAGCTTTTGAAAATGTCACATATTTCACATCTAGGGCTAGGTCTGATACTGTTTGGCAAGGCCTAAGACATAGCCAGTAAATGTATGTAGATAGAGTATTTTTGGACTATGGACAGGACTAAATGTAAAAACTACTGTAGACTATATCCATGTCTGTAAATCTTATTTAAAAGTATAGTTTGCTGCAGGTAAGACATCAGTTTCTCTAGAATTTTAGTGGCAGGTGTTGGTAGCCCAAAGCCCTCTTAGGCTTGAACTCTGGACACCAGGACCCTAGACAAATTGCCAGGTAGCTTCAGGCTTCTTTGGAACTCCTTACATTTCTCTTTACTACCTGCCCTCTCCCCAGCCAGAAATGTTCTGTTTCCCTCTTCTTTCTTTAATGCCTGCTTCCCCTCAGTCCCTCCACTCGGATCACTGATCTCTAAGCTCCCAGATTGTTTTTCCCTTCAAAAAAATCCCAGACTTCTGTTTTTCATGTAGAAAACATCAGTTCTTAGTCTGCGGATCCTGAAGGAAGAGAATTAGGATTGGGGGTGGGGGGTGGGTGGGCATCTGACATGCCTTTATATAGATTGAAACAATTCTTACCAAATTTTGAAGGAAACTGTTGCTGTAGTTTGGAACCGTTTTATCTGTTATAGCACAAAGTAAATCATCATAATGGACCATTGAGAAAAGTTATATGTGTCATGTCCTTAATTTCCTCTCAGATAGTTTTTCAAACCTCTTGTAAAATAGCTGCTTCGGTGGATCACAAACAGTATGTGGACAGACATTTGTTGAAGCTTCATGCTTATCACACCTCTTATTATCTGAGACTGTTTTCTGGTTGCCAAAAACCTAGCTGTTTTAAACAGCTGTTTTTAGGGCGCCTGGGTGGCTCAGTTGGTTGGGCGACTGCCCTCGGCTCAGGTCATGATCCTGGAGTCCCTGGATCGAGTCCCGCATCGGGCTCCCTGCTCAGCGAGGAGCCTGCTTCTCCCTCTGACCCTCCCCCCTCTCATGTGCTCTCTCTCTCATTCTCTCTGTCTCAAATATATAAATAAAAAATCTTTAAAAAAATAAATAAACAGCTGTTTTTATCGTCCTATAAAACTCTTGAGTGCCTCACATACCTGTTTTCCATCTTATCTTCCTTGCCTCTTTGTCTTCTGTTGTTTCTCTATTTCTGCTTCATTGTCTTCTCACTCCAGGCATCCTTCTTGTTTTAGGCTAATATCTCTCAGTTTCTTCTTTCCAGATGGTTGAAAATTTGGGATTTCTAAATGGAAACCTTCCTGCCACCTGAACAAAATGAAACAGGGACACTTAGGTGGAAGTAAGATGCACCTCTGTCCTTGGGTCTCTTACCTCCGAACCTCAGTGGCTATTCCCACTGATTCTTTTCCTTCTATTTTTTTGTTTGCCTTCTCAACATTCATTTATAACTTCTTGCATCAAGGAACAGGGTTCCTGTTGTCCCATGCAGAAAGCAGCCTCATCCTACATAGTAAAGAAAATAGTAAAGATTTTTATATTGAGAATGAGGATCAAAAGAAGAAAGCAATGCAGAGCTGAAAAGGTGAAATGTTGCAGAGTGCTTTGTGAGTTGGAATATTTTATTTCTAGAAAAGCCATAATCCAGACATCAGAATTCTAATTTGATTTCTTAAGAATAGTGATAATGAGAGAACTCATTTTATATACAGCAGCAAGGCACTGTAATAGTGAGGTAACTCACATAAGCCTCCACTTACTTTGTTTTTTTATTTTTAACATCTTGCTTAGTATGTTTGGTATTATGTGCCTAAAGTTTTGAAAAAACCTTCAAATGAGTGGTTCTATGTAACTGTAGGTGGTGGTATTTTTAATAATTCCAGAAATTTTTTTATAGGAGCATCTTTAACAGAATTGGATTCCCCTCAGTTGCCTTCGCATTTATCAGAGTATGAGCGGGATACCTTACTTGTTCAACCTGAGGTAAAGTCTTTAATTAAACATTTAGTACTTTTTACAGGATATATATTATTTACATTTATGGATGTATACATTTAACCACTGCATTTTTGCCTAAATTATATGTGTTTGCTTCTTTTTATAGGAAGTAGTAGAAATGTCACACATGCCAGGAGAGTTATTTAATTTATATCTTCACCAAAACTACATAGATTTCTTCGTGGAAGTAGATGATCTTGTGAGAGCCAGTGACTTTCTGAGTTTTGCAGATACCCTCAGTGGTGACTGGAATGTAAGACCATTTGACTAACTGTTTTTGTTTATGAATGTTTCCTCAGAATTGAGAAAGTTTACTTTTATTCCTCATTTGACATCTTACATAACTTCTTTTTTTTTTTAAGATTTTATTTATTTATTTTTGAGAGAGAGAGCACGAGCAGGGGAGAGGGGCAGAGGGAGAAGCAGACTCCCCACTGAGCAGAAAACCCGATGCAGGACTCGATCCCAGGACCCCGGGATCATGACCTGAGCCGAAGGCAGACTGACTGAGGCACCCAGGGGCCCCTTATGTAACTTATGTAACTTCTTAATAACAATAATAAAATTAATTCATCCAATCCAGTGTTTGTAATGACAGTGGTTAATCTGACTTTTTTGGTGATAACACTAATTTTTTCTAAAGTTATTTTCTGATTATGAAATTAATATATATATTCAGAAATTTTGACAACCATTGAAAAGTAGAAGGAGAAGTGTGCTTTTTATACTTTCTTTTACTTTTTAAAGAAATTTTTTTACAAATTTGAAATTATTCACTGTAAAATTTATATTTTTCCATAACATTCTAACACTGCTCTGACCAATGTAATAGCCACTAGCCACATACGACTATTTACATTAGGTTAAATTAAATTTAATTTAAAATTCAGGGGCGCCTGGGTGGCTCAGTCGGTTAAGTGTCTGCCTTTGGCTCAGGTCATGATCTCAGGGTCCCTGCATCGGGTTCCTTGCTCAGTGGGGAGTCTGCTTCTCCCTTTCCCTGTACTGTTTCCCCCACTTTTCTCTCTAGCCCTCTGTCAAATAAATAAATACAATCTTTAAATAAATACATAAATAAGTCAATAAAATTCAGTTCCTCAGACAGACTAGCCACATTCCCAGCATTTGATGGCTACATGTGGCTAGTAACTACTGTGTTAAACAGCTACTGTGTTGAACAGTTTGTTAAATAACAGAACATTTCTGTTACAGAAAGTTCTTTTGCACAACACTGTTTTTGATATGTTAATGTTTCTATATTATAAATATTGAAATAGCATTAATAATTAAAATTAGGAAAGATACAATAAAAAACATGTATGATATGGTTTCTGTGTTATATTTAGTTTCACTATTCAGCAGTTGCATTTGCTTAATTTTTCTTATATTCTTTTTTATTTTGAAATTTTCTAACCTATAGGCAAGTTGAAAGAATAGTATGATGAATGCCTGTATAGCCTTAGCTTTTCTTCACCACTTTTTCATATTTTGCCACATTTGCTTAACCTCTGTGTGTTTACACACTTGTTTTGGCCCAATAATTGGAAAGTAATAGCAGGTACCACATCACTTAATACTTAAGCATGCATAAGGACAGTGCCCTATTACAACCACAGAATGTTTATCACACTTAAGGAAACTAGCATTAATTCAGTAACATTATCCTTATTCTGATTTCATCAGCTGTCTGGGTGGTTCAGTCGTTAAGCATCTGCCTTCGGCTCAGGTCATGATCCCGGGGTCCTGGGATCCAGCCCCGCATCAGGCTCCCTGCTCAGCAGAGAGCCTGCTTCTCCCTCTCCCACTCCCACTCTCCCACTCCCCCTGCCTGTGTTCCCCCTCTTGTTGTCTCTCTCTCTCTCAAATAAATAAATAAAATCTTTAAAAAAAAATGTATTTTAAGGGGAACCTGGCTGGCTCAGTCGGTAAAGCATGCAACTCTTGATCTCGGGGTTGTAAGTTTGAGCCCCACATGTAGAGATTACTCAAAAATAAAATCTTAACTTGATCTTAGCCAAAAGGCTAAGAAGCAATAAAAAATAAAGTCTTTTTAAAAAAATGTATTTTAAGTTGTTTTCACCACCCGCATCCAAGATCCATTCAGAGTTCACACATACCAGTTAATTGTTGTGTCTCAGTTGACTTTGATTTAGGTAATTTTGTAGCATATTATTTTCAGGGCTTTGGTAATATTGGAAAAAGTGAACATACATTTGGGGCGCCTGGGTGGCTTGATTGGTTGAGCAACTCTTGCTTTCAGCTCGGGCTGTGATCTCATAGTTCATGGGATAGAGCCCTGCATCCACCCCACGCTCGGCAGAGTCTGTTTGAAGATTCTCTCCCTCCGCCCCTCCCCTCACTCACACATGTGCACACTCTCTCTAAAATAAATCAATAAATCTTAAAAAAAAAAAAAGTGAACATACATTAAGTAAATCTGATTAGTGGTTTTTTGGTGTCAGCAGTACCAATAGCACTGCATTGTAAATCTCTTATTTTCTTTATTTTACATTTTGTCTCCTTTTTAGACACGCTCTTTACTCAGGCAATATAGTACATCCATAGCTACGAGAGGTGTGATACATTCCAACAAAGCCCGAGGATTTGCTCATTGCCAAGGAGGAGGATCAAGTTTTCGACCCTTGCACAAACCCCAGTGGTTTCTCATAAATAAAAAGGTAAAAAAAGAATTGTGTACTTTTAATAGGTAAACTTTATGGTGTGTGAATTATATCTCAATAAAGCTGTTATTTCTTTATAAGTTTTATAAATAAAAAGTGTTTTATTATAGTAAGCAATAGTTGCTAACAGCCACAATTTTCTTAGAATTATAGTAAGACATAAAAAGGATGGTCTTTTTTTTTTTTTTTTTTTTTAAGATTTTATTTATTTATTTGACAGAAAGAGACACAGCGAGAGAGGGAATACAAGCAGGGGGAATGGGAGAGGGAGAAGCAGGCTTCCCGCGGAGCAGGGAGCCCGATGCGGGGTTCGATCCCAGGACCCTGGGATCATGACCCGAGCCGAAGGCAGACGCCTAACGACTGAGCCACCCAGGCGCCCCAAAAAGGATGGTCTTAAATGCCTCATTATTTTTAAGGAAAACACTCAAAATTTGAAAACATTATCATACTTATTAGATGATTATTATTGAATTCACAGTATCATTATAATTATCTTTTAGTTTTAATTAAAAATAGGGGCACCTGGCTGGCTCATTTGGAAGAGCATGTGACTCAATCTCAGGGTCGTGAGTTCAAGCCCCACGTTGGGTATAGAGATTAATTTTTTTTTTAAGATTTTATTTATTTATTTGACAGAGAGAGCAAGAGAGCACAAGCAGGGGGAACAGTAGAGGGAGAGGGAGAAGCAGGCTTCCCGCGGAGCAGGGAGCCCGATGCGGGGCTCGATCCCAGGACCCTGAGATCATGACCTGAGCCAAAGGCAGATGCTTAACCATCTGAGCCACCCAGGTGCCCCTAGAGATTACTTTAAAAAAAAGGGGGGGGGGCGCCTGGGTGGCTCAGGCCGTTAAGCGTCTGCCTTCGGCTCAGGTCATGGTCCCAGGGTCCTGGGATCGAGCCCCGCATCGGGCTCCCTGCTCCGCGGGAAGCCTGCTTCTCCCTCTCTCACTCCCCCTGCTTGTGTTCCCTCTCTCGCTGTGTCTCTCTCTGTCAAATAAATAAATAAAATCTTAAAACAAACAAACAAAAAACTTCCTTAAAAAAAAAAAAGGGAAGGAAAAATAAATCCTTGACTTGCCTCTCACCATCTAGATGCATTATTTTACCTAATGTGCACTTAGTTTCCACAGCTTTAAATGTGGAGGATTGGATTAGAAATCAAAAATAGATGGCCCCCCATGTTGAATACTGCACACAAAAAGATTTTTTTTCGTGAATTTCCAGTCTTTTAAAAAATGAGCATGGTAATTAAAATTCATATATGGATTTCTGGCTCAGAATTCCTGGACTCTCCTGAAAAGAATGCAAAGTAAGGCAGCACTGGCCTATATTTTTACATGGCAGCAATCTGATCAAGCCAAGTAGCATCTGCCCCTTGAAGATGGGAGTGGTGGGTACTATTTTCCCCAGCTGTCTCACTGCACTGATTTATATACCCACCTGTCTCCTACAGCATCTGAATTTGTGGTCTCTGGACTACATTATCTCTAAGATGTCTTCCAGTTCGTAAATCATATGGCTAAATATAAGCCTGTAATTCATTACCTAACATTTTTTCCAACAGATTTCTTGGAGAATTTCATGACTTTTAATCAATTTATGTCCCTTATTGACTTGCTTTGCTTTTTATAGCATGAAAATTAATTTGCCTTATAGTTACATACAGATTGTCTCTGTAAAGCTGTAAGCTCCTTGAAGGCAGATTGTGCTTCTCTCCTCCTCAGCCTAGCATTGTACCCATGTTAACTGAAGAATATATATTTTTTTACTGAGAAACAATATCCTCCCATAATTTATGATGTATGCTCATAAACAAAATTCCTTTCATTTTTAAGTTTTTTTTTCTTTCTACCTTAGGTCTCTTAAAAAATTTTTATTGCTGGGACGCCTGGGTGGCTCAATCTGTTAAGCATCTGCCTTCAGCTCAGGTCATGATCCCAGGGTCCTGGGATCGAGTCCTGCATTGGTCTCCCTGCTCTGCGGGGAGCCTGCTTCTCCCTCTGCCTCTGCCTCTCTCTCTCTCTCTCTCTCATGAATAAATAAATAAAATTTAAAAAAAAATATTCTTATTGCTATTATGTCAAATATGAAATAGTTTTATAGGTAAAATCCTTTATTAGGTAAGGCTAGGACAGTAATAAAAAACTAATTAGATAAACTCTTAAAAGTATGTGGTATATAAACACAATTTGTGATATAGTAAACTTAGTTTGTCTAGGGATACATCTCCATATTTTTTTACTTTAGTTTTCATTTCATCTTTTTTTTTTTCTGTACAGTATCGGGAAAATTGCTTGGCAGCAAAAGCACTTTTTTCTGACTTCTGCTTACCAGCTTTATGCCTCCAAACTCAGCTGTTGCCATACCTTACCTTGCTAACCATACCAATGAGAAATCCAGGTAATAACATGGGTTTTTAGTTATCCCAAGAAGTAGTGTTTTATAACTTTATCTTTCTGTAGGTCAACTCGTTGCTATATTCTAGTGAGCTAAGTTTTTTTCCCTTTATTTTTTGATCCAGAATACGTGTTTTTGATTTAAAAAGGAATAAAGCAATACAGAAGTATATAAAGTAAAAATTAAAAGTTCCCTATAACCACAGGTAATTCCTTTTGAAAGGTTGGTGTGAATTCTTCCAGACTTTTTTCTGTGCGTATACAAATATTAGGCATATGCTTTAATTGGCATATGGCACTTACCATGGATAGCACTCCATATTTTATAAATAAGTACTAAATCAGCTCCGGAGGTTGGAAAGTCCAAAATCAAGATACAAGCAGATCCAGCCATTTTATATTCTCACATGGCAGAGAGCAGAGCAAAGAGAGAGCTCTCTCTGATGTCCCTTTTATAAATATCAGAAATCCAGGATCATTTTATACTTCAGGAGCCCTGGTTCCTTATAGCGGAAATAGTATGTAGAATTTAGGATCTGGGGGTGCCTCGCTGGCTCAGTCGATAGAGCATGTGACTCTTGATCTAGGGGTTGTGAGTTCAATCTCCATGTTGGGCGTAGGGCCTACTTAAAAAAAAAAAAAAAGAATTTAGGATCTGGATACAAGGTATGGTCCTTGCTACTGGAGTATCATTGTGTCTAGGCTGTTTCAGTGGAACAGAGCTAGGAAGTGTGTGTGTGTGTGTAAACCATGAGTTCACACCAATACATTGAATTTCAGCCTAACACAACAGAGTTTATTCTAACCTTTCCCAGTTTAGTATCTAGTACTGGTTTAGACTACTTACACTGAAATTATCTGGAGAATCATTTATCCACTAGTTAAAAATTCAGATTACAGGATCACAAACTCAGTTTTCCATATCAAAAAGCTGGTTTTTAAAAAAATCCTGATTCTGTTCTGTAGTGGATCTTTAAAAAAGGTAAGTATCCAAGAGCTCTCATAGTGTTGGTTTACAAACTTTGAAGGGTTCATAAAATTCAGTCAAAAATAAGATGTCTTGGGGGCGCCTGGCTGGCTCAGTTGTTAGAGCATGCAACTTTTTTTTTTTTTTTTTTTAGTATTTATTTATTTGAGAGAGAGCACATGCGAGAGGGGCGGGGCAGGGGGGAAGAAGAGGGAAAGAGGGAGCAGAGTCTTAAGCAGACTCAGCACTGAGCATGGAGCTCTTAGGCTCCATCCCACAACCCTGAGATCATGACCTGAGCGGAAACCAGGAGTTGGGCGCTCAACCCACTGCGCAACCCAGGTGCCCCCAAAAACATGCAACTCTTGATCTTGGGGTGGGAGTTCAAGCCCCAACATTGGGTGTGAAGTCTACTTAAAAAAAAAAGATGTTTTGGGGCGCCTGGGTGGCTCAGTTGGTTAAGCGACTGCCTTCGGCTCAGGTCATGATCCTGGAGTCCCTGGATCGAGTCCCGCATCGGGCTCCCTGCTCAGCAGGGAGTCTGCTTCTCCCTCTCCCACTCCCCCTGCTTGTGTTCCCTCTCTCGCTGTGTCTCTCTCTCTCTGTCAAATAAATAAATAAAACCTTTAAAAAAAAAAAAGATGTTTTGGTTTTTCTTACCATTTTCCCCCCTTTTCTTTATTTACTATGTCATTTTAGACATTATTTTTTACTCCTTTCTCTTTGTTTTTTATTGTGGTCCTCTGTTAGTGTTTGTTGGAATGCTTAAAGGTATCCCACATACCTCTGATAGCTTTGTTTATTTCTCTTCTTTCATTTTCTCCCTTTTCTTTGATTCTGCAATATTTATCAGTCTTGTTCAGGTTGACTTATTCTTTCTTCTGCCAGTTCAGATCTGTTGAGCCCCTGTTGTGAGTCACTGTTCCGGGTGAGTGCTCAAGTGGAGGTAGCCTCTGATCATCATGGCTGGGCCCCTCACAGCATGGGCCCCCTGCCCTATGAATGAACTTGGGCGAGGGCCATTGCAGTTCAAGGAGGAGGCAGTATTCTCAGCCTGTTGCGCTACTAGGATAGAGCTTCCATGGTTTGGGTTGGAGAAAGGGAGTCCTGAATTCTTGGCTGGCCACAGGAGGGAGGGAGTCCTATGGGTCCTTGGCTGCACCCACCTGGCGTGAAGTCTCCTTAAAGCTGAGGAAGCAAAGGAGTGAGTCCTGGTTCAAATGCCACAGACTCTTGCAGTTAGATTTTCCTCAATAAATGTTTCTTCGGAATATAAAAATTTATCAACTTAAACCATGTTTAAGTATGTAGTTCAGTGGTGATAAGCGTATTCACCTTGTATAACCAATCCCTAGAACTTTGTCATCTTGCAAAATTGAAACCACATGTTGAACACTACCTCCCACTCCCTGCCCATCATCTATCTTCTGTCTCTGAATTTGATTACTCTAGGTACCTCACATAGTGGACTCATAACAGTGTTTGTCCTTTCGTAATTGACTTATTTCACATAGCATGTCATCAAAGTATATCTATATTATAGCATGTATTGAGGGGCCTAAGTGGCTCGGTTGGTTAAACGTCTGACTCTTGGTTTTGGCTCAGGTCATGATCTCAGCATCGTGAGATTGAGCCCCACTTGAGGCTCTGCACTGGGTGTGGAGCCTGCTTAAGATTCTCTCTCTCCCTCTCCTTCTGCCCCTTCCTCTGCCCCAAATAAAATAAAATAAATATATATAATATTATATATATATCAGAATTTCCTTTTTAAGGCTGAATAACCTCACATTGTGTGTATATACCACATTTTGTTTATCCATCTGCTGATGGACACATAAGTTGTTTCCACCTTTTGGCTATTGTGAACAATGCTGTTATGAACATGGGTGTACAAATTACTCTTTAAGACCATGCTGTCAGTTCTTTGGGGTATATACCCAGAAGTGGAATTGCTAGGTCATATAGTAATGCTGTCTTTAATTTTTTAAGGAGCTGCTTTACCATTTTCCAAAGCAGTTATACGTTTTACATTTCCACCAGCAATTCCCAAGGGTTTCAGTTTCTCCACATCTTTGTGAAACCTTTTTTTTTCTAACAGACATCCTAAAGGATGTGAAATGGTATCCCATGGTTTTCATTTGAATTTTCCAAAGGATTCGTGATTTTGAGCATCCTTTCATGTGTTTGTTGTCCATTTGTTTATCTTCAGAGAATTGTCTGTTTAAAGCTTTTTTAAAATCTCTGTTTCAGCTCAAATTTCTTTTATCCAAGATATTGGAAGGCTTCCTCTGAAACGACACTTTGGAAGGTAAGCTGATTGTTTTAATTTTCAAAACCTGTTTCAAGACCTGTTACTGAAACGTCCACTGAATGTTACCTAATTTATTCAGTATACAGCCAGTAAAATTTATCTGTAAAATCCAAGAGATACATATAATTCCCAGTGATTAATGGTCATATGATTGCATTGTAGATCCACCATTTTATTACATATAACAGTATATTTTCACTAGCTCATATATGGAATCATAAAAGCAAGGGGATTTTTAAAATCCTCCATTTAGCAAATCTTGCCTATGTGAAAACCCCTTTTCACCTTTCCTGCCCAGAGGTGTTCTTAGCCTGTGTTTAAAGGCTGCAGTGACCAGGAACTACCACAAAAGCACGCTTTTTTTTTTTTTTTTTTTTTGTAAACTTCCTTCTCTTAGAAGATTCAGACAAATTTTTAAAAATGTAGTTTTTTTAGATATAGAGAGGTAAATCATTATCTGTGCTGTTCCTTTTATTGCAAAATCACTTCTGGGCTAATATCAGTGATTAACACAACACCTGTATTTCATTTCTACTTTACTTATTTGTAAGGTCAAATTATGTACTTGGCATTTTATTTAAAAAGGCTTTTTAACTGTTTTTATTGGTTCAACTACCGGATCTAACTTGGGAGACAGGATTTGTCAGTGCTACTTATTGCAGTCATTCATGATGACCATATTTAGGGATGCCTGGCTGGCACAGTCAAGATAGAGCATGAGACTCTTGATCTCAAGGTCATAAGTTCGAGTCCCACACTGGGTGTAGAGCTTATTTAAATCAATAATCATGATGACCATATTTAACATTATCATTGATTCATGTTGACAGTACTAAATATTAATATTCAGCTTGATAGTTAATATTCAGTAGTTCTCTAGTTTCCTGTAATAAAGCCTACACCTTATTTGTGTATATTTAGCTTATTTCCAACTTTATCACAGTTTTCCTCATAGCTTTAATCATTGTGAACATCAAATGCTATTTACATAGGATGTATTCCGAAAAACTTGCAGAATCAATGGATATACACTTTTCTGAAGCCTTTCCTCTCTATTGCCAGATTACTTCCAGGAATATTTTGCCAATTTTATGTCCACTTACAGTGTATCAGTATATTCTTTTCTCCTAGCTCTTGACACTGGTTTTATTAAAATCTTTTTAAAAGGTCTTGGGCGGGCGCCTGGGTGGCTCAGTTGGTTAAGCGACTGCCTTCAGCTCAGGTCATGATCCCAGGGTCCTGGGATCGAGTCCCGCATCGGGCTCCCTGCTCTGCAGGGAGCCTGCTTCTCCCTCTCCCACTCCCCCTGCTTGTGTTCCCTCTCTCGCTGTGTCTCTCTCTGTCAAATAAATAAATAAAAATCTTAAAAAAAAAAAAAAAAAAAAAAAAAAAAGGTCTTGGGCACCTGGCTGGCTTAGTCAGAAGAGCATGCAACTCTTGATCTCAGGGCTGTGTGTTTGAGCCCCACGTTGGCTGTAGAGATTACTTAAATAAATAAAACTTTAATAACTAAATAAATAAAAGGTCTTTGCCAGTTTTAAAGATGATGGTAGTGGTTCATTATTTTAATTTCAATTTTTAAAATTACTAATTAGGTTGAACAATTTAGTTACCATTTGTATTTTTTATGTAAATTGTCCATGTTTTATGCCCATTTTTCTTTTTTTTTTTTTAAGAGAGAGAGAGTGCATGCATGTGCTCTCACAAGGTAAAGGAGGGGCAGAGGGCTAGGAAGAGAGAAAATATAAGCAGGTTCCACTCTTAGTGTGGAGCCTGATCTCACGATCCTGAGATCATGACCTGAGCCAAAATCAGGAGCCTGACGCTTAATCAGCTGAGCCACCCAGGTGCCCTACCCATTTTTCTATTCTATTTAATTTTTCTTTTAATTTGTAAGAACTCTTTAGCAAAGACATTAATTAAGTCATTTGTATTGTAAGTTGTAATGATTTTTTCACATTTTGTCATTTACCTTGTGCTTTTGTTTATACCATTAAATAAACCAAAGGGCTTGCTAAACAGTGAGCACGTCAAGGTAAGTTAAGAGATGGCTTCATAATTCTCACACGCATGGTATAACTTAAAGGTATCCGTCTTTTTGGTTATTATTGATGCCTGCATTATGAATCTGGCAGGTTGAAAATGGAAGCCCTGACGGACAGGGAACCTGGATTGATAGACCCGGACAGTGGAGATGAAGCCCTGCTTAATGGAGGGCAGCCTGCAGAGGAAGCTCTGGGTGAACCCACACAAACCGCCGAACCTGAAACTTGCTGTCTGCCTTTGAGTCAAAATAGTGGGAGTGAGCTGCCTGCCAGCCAGCCTCAGCCCTTTTCCGCACAGGGAGACATGGAGGAAGAAGAGCTGGTAATAGAAGACTATGAGAGCGATGGGACCTAGAAACCAGCCTGCGGGTCATGTTGTTGCTTGGCAGGTTCATGTGCATTTTATTCAGTGGTATCTGAACAGAGATAATATACTTTTCAAGTGAATGACAGTTTAATTCTTCACTCTTGTAGCACAAGAACCTGATTTCTCTGTCATTTTGAAGTAAACAGATCAAGCTTCAAATAATCTTAATTTTTTTCTCTAGTATTTATTTAGTCTTGTGAGTTGTGTTGGGAGAGGAGGTCAGTGTGAATGAAGAGTGAACATTATGCCAAATATCAAAGAATGTGAAGGAATAATTCAGAATACTAAAACTTTATGGGGTTGTAAATACGAATTATGAAACAGTTTAGTATACAATTATGAGTGTAAATAAACTTTGTGCCTTATCCACAGTTTCTCTATGGTCTCTAACTTCTCAAATACCATTTTTATATGCTGTACAGTGGACTATTTTAGATGCTTTTTGGAAAGTATTTAATTTATATCAAAATTAAAATGTTGAACTTCTTTTCGTTTCTTCTTTTACCATTTCCTAACATGTACTGTCGGCCAGGTATCATTGGGCATAGTACATGACTCTCCTTTATCCGTTGTTAACTTTTCAAAAATAGGGAAGAGAATGGCAACCTTGTCATGAGAACTCTCCGGCGGACTAATCACACCTCTAATACCTTTCCTAGCCGTGTGCGCGCGCCGTGGCGCGGGCGGAGCTGGGTTTGTATCCGCCGCTCCGAGGTGCGGGGCGGGCTCCGACCCTCCCGGGCCGGGAGCGGGAGTCCGAGCCTGACAAAGCCGGGCGGGGCGAACTTGGCTGGGCTCCGCCCCGGGAGCTGAGCCGGGTTTCAGTCCCGTGGGCGGCGTGTGCGCTCGTCCCCGCTACCGCGCAGGTGAGTGGGGCGGGGGGGGGGGGGGGGGAGGCACGTGAGGCGGCGGTGGACGGGGAGGGGCCCGGCGGCCCCCCGGCAGGTGCGCGGGTGCGGAAGCGGGGCCCCGGCCCGCGGCGCTCGCCACTCAGCCCCGCCATAGCCCGCGGCCGAGGCCGAGGCCGGACCGCGGCGCGCGAAGAGGTGAGGGCCCCGGGGAGAGCGGGGCCTGCGCGTCAGGAGAGCCGCTCAGCCAGCCCGCTTTCACCCAGGGGCCACAGGTGCGCGGTGAAGCGCGCCCGGCCGCCGCCCCTCCCCGGCGCCGGGATCCTCTGAGCCCGACCTGCGCATGGACCTAGTTCCGGCCGCTTTGGGGCGTCATCTCGACGGACCGAGAGCGGGTCTTCTGTCGGGCGCGCTGACCGAGTGCTCCCTGGGGTGGGCAGACGCGATGATTGGGAGAGATGGGTGGGACCGGACGCCGAGCGGCGGGCTCGGGAGCGACCCCAGCGCGGATGGTCGGTGTCCCTTGTCACTCACGCGTGGGTTGAGTTAAAACCCTCGGGCCTTTCCCTGCTCCCAAGGAGCCCGGAAACATCTCGTGGGCCCAGCAAAACTTTAAAGCTCGCTAAGGCGAGGCTTCTGTTTTTGTAAAGGCGACCGAGAAAGGTTCCCGTGTCACTTTCTTGGGGGAGACCATTTATCCTCCCACGCTGTGGCTTTCAGAGCTGTGTGTTCCTACAGAATGGAGCCAGAGCCCCGGGGCTTGTCCAAAACAAAGACCCCACTGTGCCTCAGCGTGCTGAATCCAAGAGGGCTCAGTGACACCCTCAAAGATACACGAGGGTACCAGATAACGACGATGTCGTCAAATACCGCTCACCATTCCCTTCTAAAATCACGTATTTTGTTATTCCATGATTCTCCACATCTGGTTTTTTGCTTATTTAAAAATTCTTAGTATGTAAACATTGATAAGGTGTTCTAATTCAATGAGCCACTTTACACAGGTGAAGATAAATCCATTACAGTGAAGCACACCTTTTTACCAGTGTGTTAAGCAACGGGATATTGAGTTATATAAAACTTGCTGAAGTTATTTATGTGCTTTTTTTTTCTACTTTTCTTAGGAAAGTGTATTTCAAAACTGTAGTCGTACTGTGCATTTCTAGAATTTAAATGTTTTTAGACACGGGGCGCCTGCGTGGCTCAGTTGGTTAAGCCTCTGCCTTCACTTCCGGTCATGATCCCAGGGTCCTGGGATTGAGGGAACCTGCTTCTGCCTCTCCCTCGGCTTTCGGCTTCCCTTACGTGTTCTCTCTCTGTCTCTCTGTCAAGTAAATTTAAATAAAGTCTTTTAAAAAGTAAAATAAAATGTTTTTAGATGCAGATGAGATAAATGACCGAGACAAAAATAACTGCTTATTGCTATCATTTATAGAGCTCCTACTTTGCACTGGGCACCATGCTGGAACTAGCACAGTAATTGTCTAAAATTGGGTTACCCCATTAGAAGACCCAGAAATTTAGAACTCTCCATTTTCACCCATTCCGTGGGTGACAGGATCTACTCTATGGTAGTACCTACCCTTCTGTATGTACATTTCCGCCTGGACGTCTCCACCTGGATTTCTAATGGGTATCTCAAACTCTTCAGGCTGCTTGTCCCAGGGCCATCTCCAGTTTGGAGGGGGGGAGAAATGTTGCATATGAAATTATTGGACGTCTGAGATTTGCTTCAAAGCAATCTATTGGCAGAAGGAATAGGTAGGAGGGATAGATGAAACAGGATTGGTCATAAATTGATAATTATTGAAGTTGGTTGATGGGTACATAGGGTTCATGATACTATTCTTTTCACTTTTTATTATGTTTGCAATTTTATATAATAAAAATTTTTAATTCCCTGTATTAAAAAATGTGACTTCGGGGACGCCTGGGTGGCTCAGTCGGTTAAGCGTCTGCCTTCAGCTCAGGTCATGATCCCAGGGTCCTGGGATCGAGTCTTGCATCGGGCTCCCTGCTCCGCAGGGAGCCTGCTTCTCCCTCTGCCTCTACCCCTCTCTCTCTCCCTCTCTATCTCTCATGAATAAATAAATAAAATCTTTAAAAAAAAATGTGACTTCTTTCTATCTTCATTGCTACCACCATGGTCCACTGGATTTAGTCCGCGGCCTCCTGTCTCCCTTGTCTCCTGGAGTGTACTCTCAACATAGCATCCAGAGTGATCCCATTAAAACACGTCAGATCCCGTCAGTGCTCTACTCAGAATGCTCCCTTGTCTTCTCATCTCACTCCCAGTAAAAGCCAAAATCCTTTCCAGTGGTTTTCAAGGCCCTCCCTAATGATTCAGACTTAATTCTGCTGCTTACCCTCTCACTCACTCTGCTGCTGCCCCACTGGCCTCCATGACTTAATAGTTCTTGAACTTGCCAGGCACTCCTGCCTCAAGGCTTTTGACTAGCTGTTCCATCTGCCTGGACCACTTTCCCTGATAGCTGTCTGACTTCCTCCTTCACCCCCTTCATTTCTATATTCAGATGTCACATTCTCTGTGAAGACTTCCCAGTCATTCTATTTAAAATTGTAACACCTGACCAGCAAAGTGCTCCTTATCACCATTCTTAACTTTGTTCCTTAGCATCTGATGTATTTCACTTCCCTTATCTGTCATCTCTAATCCCCCCACTGAGACTTAAGTTCCATGAACGCAGGGATTTCAGTTGCTTTTGCTCACTGATAACACTTTTAGCATACCTGGTGCATGGCAGATGTTTGGTAAATTTGTTGAACGATAGGTCTCCATTTTACAAAATGAAATAAAACAAAGCCTTGGCGGGGGGGGGGGGGGGGCACTTGGGTGGCTCAGTCAGTTAAGCATCCGGCTCAGGTTATGATCTCAAGTCATGAGATCGAGCCCCACATTAGGCTCCCCACTGGGTGTGGAGCCTGCTTAAGATTCTCTCTTCCTCTGCTCTCTCTCTCTCTCTCTCAACTAAAACAAAAAAACAAAGCCTGAGGAGTTTCTAAATGGTTCAACACCACAAAGGTGGGATTCTCCATTTAAACTTAGAGACCTTCATAGTGCCAAGTACATGCTGTATGCCCAGTGAGTTTTCAGTAAGTACTCGCTTATAAGCAATATGAGGGAGAAATTTATTGTGCCTGTTTAAGTTACATTAGCGAGTAGTGTCCTTTTTGTATACATGTCCAGGTTCACTGATTTTGTGAAGGAAATTAACAGGTTTAGTGAAAGTGCTTTTTCTCTGCCTTATTTTTTAGGTGGATCAAATCCCCTCTGAGATACTGTCTGAGTGTTGTTACGGCAACAGCAAATCGCCTTTAGGTGGCCACTCTGAGAAGAGTGCTACCCATGACATACACAGTTGCTCTGTGTTGTACTTTTGGGGAATCTTAACCTTCAGTGATTTTTTTTTCTCTGAGAATTCAATTTTTTTTTTTTAAGATTTTATTTATTTATTTGACAGAGAGAGACACAGCGAGAGAGGGAACACAAGCGGGGGGGTGGGAGAGGGAGAAGCAGGCTTCCCGCCGAGCAGGGAGCCCGATGCGGGGCTCGATCCCAGGACCCTGAGATCATGACCTGAGCCGAAGGCAGACACTTAACGACTGAGCCACCCAGGTGCCCCGAGAATTCAATTTTTTTAAAGAGAAATGCATTTCCTTTTTTTTTTTTAAGATTTTTTTAATTATTCATTCGAGACAGAGATACAGAGAGCAAGAGAGAGAGAACATGAGCAGGGGGAGAAGCAGAGGGAGAGGGAGAAGCAGGCTTCCCGCCGAGCAGGGAGCCCGATGCGGGGCTCGATCCCAGCACCCTGGGATCACGACCTGAGCCGAAGGCAGACGCTTAACCATCTGAGCCCCCCAGGCGCCGTGAGAATTCAATTTTTAAAATCGAGTATCAAGTATTAATATTTTAGAGTGGAAGAAGCAACTCCCCTAAACTGACTTCCCTGATTTGAGAAAGAAAGGGGCTCTTCAATCCCTGTATTTAACAGACTGCTTCTCCCAAGCCATTCCAAAGGAGATTTGAGGTAATGAAAATGAAGAGTATTTGCTGGCTCATCAAACTTTGGTATGCTCAAACTATTAAATATTTTGATTTAGGTGTTTGAGGAAAGGATTCTACTTGGGATGTGTTAGTATCCTGTATGATTAAAATTTAGCTTCTTACGTGGTTTCTACACGTTTACTGCACTCATAGGTAAATTAGACTTACAAATGTTTTAATTCAGAACTAAGATTTTAATTTTGATTGCCCTTAAAAATCATACAGAATGATGATGTTATCCCTGGCTATTATGTGGTACATGTTTAAAATATTTATATTATGATTTTTACATATCATGATAATTAGACCTGACCATATTGGTTTCCTAAATACAATCATCTACCATTAAGTGAATAAAATCCCAGCATCATTGAAAGAATAAATAACTAGGCATAAGTGATAACTTTAATCTTGGCCACAGGTGTAAAAGTCACAAATGTCGTCAAATGATGGAAGATCCAGGAATCGGGACAGGCGCTATGATGAAGTCCCAAGGGACTCACCCTATCAAGATGGCACCATAGGAACCCTCCAGACTCTTCGTGACAGTGAGCTGGCCGTGAGCGCTG